GTGTGGGTGAGTGAGTGAGTGAGTGTGTGAGTGAGTGAATGTGTGAGTGGGTGAGTGAGTGTGTGAGTGGGTGAGTGAGTGTGTGAGTGGGTGAGTGAGTGTGTGTGGGTGAGTGAGTGAGTGGGTGGGTGAGTGAGTGTGTGAGTGGGAGAGTGAGTGGGTGGGTGAGTGTGTGAGTGAGGGAGTGAGTGTGTGAGTGAGTGGGTGAGTGTGTGAGTGGGTGAGTGAGTGTGTGAGTGGGTGAGTGAGTGTGTGAGTGGGTGTGTGAGTGTGTGAGTGGGTGAGTGAGTGGGTGAGTGAGTGTGTGAGTGAGTGAGTGTGTGAGTGGGTGAGTGAGTGGGTGAGTGAGTGTGTGAGTGTGTGAGTGAGTGGGTGAGTGTGTGAGTGGGTGAGTGAGTGAGTGGTGAGTGAGTGAGTGGGTGAGTGAGTGTGTGAGTGAGTGAGTGGGTGAGTGAGTGTGTGAGTGGGTGAGTGAGTGAATGAGTGGGTGAGTGAGTGAGTGGGTGAGTGGGTGAGTGAGTGTGTGAGTGAGTGAATGAGTGGGTGAGTGAGTGTGTGAGTGAGTGAGTGTGTGAGTGGGTGAGTGAGTGAGTGAGTGGGTGAGTGAGTGTGTGAGTGAGTGGGTGAGTGTGTGAGTGGGTGAGTGAGTGGTGGGTGAGTGTGTGAGTGGGTGAGTGAGTTAGTGAGTGTGTGAGTGGGTGAGTGAGTGAGTGGGTGGGTGAGTGTGTGAGTGGGTGAGTGAGTGAGTGGGTGAGTGAGTGTGTGAGTGAGTGTGTGAGTGAATGTGTGAGTGTGTGTGAGTGGGTGAGCGAGTGAGTGGGTGAGCGAGTGTTGTTGTGACGTGTAAGTGTGGTTGTGGTTCAACTGTGTGCGGATGAGACGTTACAGTCTGGTAGAACAAGAGTCCTCAACACGGATGGAGCAATCAACGTGGGAAGTTCACGGGAACAGTAACCATGGTAGTAGCAGCAGCAGCGATAGAAGAGTGAAAAGGAGGCGACTGACCGCCGGTGAGCGAGAGCGAGTGAATAGGTGAGTGCCGGATAAATACACCGTGACGACTTTGCATTGAATTCCATGGAGTACAGTGTGGCAGGAACTGGCTGCTCCACCCCAGATATGGTAACAGGATTCCAACTTTGGCCGGATCTGTGCTGTGTGCAGCACAGAGTTGCAGGAGACTGGAACGGGAAATAAAACCAAGCATCCTCGATGCCTCTCTAGCCAGACGAGTAACAAGACTTGTTCTATGACAGCTCCGATGAGGTTGTTGTGTCATGCAGAGTTTCCTCGGGCTGCGAATATAATTTATTTTTAATACGAGGTGGGTGACGTGGTCGAGTTGTAGCGCTTGTTGTTACAGAGGTCCACGGTTCGATCCCAGCGGACGCCCTGATTAATACTGCGGTCCGTGTAATAACCGTGAAAATACTGCGCGCATCGCCAGTTTGGTAAGTGGACTTTGAAGATCCCACTGACGGGATTCGCAAAAGTAGCCCCATCGCGTGCCGGCGTCATGATCCGAATTTGCCAAATAAAAAAAATATTACGCCACGAGTTACTCGATTGGGATTACACACTCACACAGCAGCAGCAAGCATCGCTCCGTACTGCGAACATTTGGCACGACCCTCCTAAAAACACGTCATTGAGGCTTTCCTCGGTAAACCCGCGTAATGACGATAATTGTTACATTTGACGGGAAGAACTGTGGAAATGCCAGCGTTACAGTGACAACCGTCGGGCTTATTTATTAATTTCGTCGAACGTCACCCATGATCAACAACAACCGCTATTTGCCACTAAGTGCCAGGCTATGTGCACGTTAAGGCCACGTGAAAGTGTCGAACGCACGCTGGCAAGAGGTCACGGGGCAGACCCAGGTGCCACGGGTCGACAGACCCAGATGGCTGGCCGATGTACCACCTCCCCACAACGAGCTCTGCTCTGCTCGTTGTTGTTGGAGGGCGACTACCTCCAACTGCCCAGTAGCAGCGTCCTTCACGAGCCTCCTCCACAGAGGCCGATCTTGACACCGCTGGTACCAGTCATCGGCAAGTCCACTCAGCTCCACGTCCTCCTCTACCACATCACTCCATCTCTTCTCTAGCCTGTGCCGCGCCCGTTTAGCCTCCTCTATCCAACCGAACAAAAGTTGGTTTGGCATGCGGTGGCTGGGCATGCGGGCTTCATGTCCCACCCAGGCTCGCACGTGCTCCACGTTTTCACGCCACGTGACGTTATTTGTAATCGACGTGGGTTTGTTTATTATGTTGAATGCCACCAGGATGGACCACGTGTACACTCCGCGTTAAATGTCGCGGGGGTTGGGGGGGGTCACGGGGGGGGGGGATCACGGGGGGGGGGGGGGTCGCGGGGGGGGGGGGGGTCACGGGGGGGGGGGGTCACGGGGGGGGTCACGGGGGGGGGGGTGCTGTTCGTACTCCGACTCTTGCCGCCCACGTCATCTGCTGCCACGGGCACGTGGGGCACGGCAGTGCGTGTGTGAACCCATCGACCTGCAGAACCAGTCCCGTGGGGTCGCTGGGGTGCACAACTCAACGGCGGTCGCCCGCTTGTACAAATATTCAGGTTTTTTAAAAGAACAAAAATATGTGCATTATACGCGAGGAAGAACAATCGTCAAGACGCGCTGATTCCGGAACGCCGTCTGTTATCCCGCGTTCGAGGAATGTGTCGCTTCGGATCGCGTGCCTCGCCCTCGCATGAAAGGAATGTTCCCCGCAATGCAATGTGCCGGCAACATTTTTTGTTTACAAGTTCACGAGCAATTACTCGTTTCATTATAATAATAATTGAAGGGGTTGCCTCGTGTTACTCAATAGCTGCTATCGGTGCAACTATACAAATGCTAATTTAAACGGCTGCTCATCAGAAAACATTTAAAGTAAAACTATTAAAAAAAAACTCATCAGGCCCCCATGATATAAACTAAACTTTTTCGTTGATCTTACCAGGCAAGGGCCGACTGAGCTATGTAGCTCTTTTTCAGAAGCGACCTGGCCACAAATGATAGCTCAACAAAGTGGCTTATCACGTGGTAATTTATAGCAGCCAAAATCTGTAAGCGTATTATTCTAATTAACCCGTAAAAACAAAGTTTTTCACTATAAATCCTTTATATGCGTGTTCAATGGGCCACAACCCAGCCCACATTGGTCTTTGAAACGGGCGGCTAGAGTCCTCTCGTCCTCTGGCTTGAGATGGCTGCCACCTATGGGTCAGATGATTGCCTGCCACCATTAAGCAATTGGTAATTAAATATAAAAAAAAACATCCTAAAAAGTGTAACATTTTGGAAAAAAATTTTCACGAAAATAAATTGTCACGCACAACGAGTCTGTGTGCAAAATGTCAGCTCGATTGGATCACGGGAAGTGGGTTAAAAAACGACCGAAGGATTTGCACGGTCGTAAGCACGCAAGCAAGCAAGCAAGTGAACGTAATATAAAGGATTTAAAAACCGGAGGTCCCGGAGAAAAATCCACACGGCCACGGGCAAAGAGACCATGCAAACTCCAAATATACAGGCGTCAGGGTCCATAACATGTTGCAACTACAGTCTCCAACTCTTCTTCTTCTTGGTTCTTTCGGTAAAGTCACGTAGAAGGGAAGTAATAAAATAATAAAAATAAAACATAATAAAACAATTCTCACGACGTTTCGGCCACAACGCAAGCAGCCGCAAGCAGCCGTCCTCAGGTGGTTTTCACCTGAGGACGGCTGCTTGCGTTGTGGCCGAAACATCGTGAGAATTGTTTTATTATGTTTTATTTTTATTATTTTATTATATTTTATTTTAATTATTTTATTACTTCCCTACTACGTGACTTTACCGAAAGAACCAAGAAGATGAATCCCTGCAGTCACGAAAGCTTTAAATCGAAATCTCCAACTCTTATCATCCACTCTGTCTCTCTATGTGCTATGAACAAGGGCTATTGCCAGAAACATCACCCTTTTAAGCCCACGGTGTTATCGAAGAAAGTGTCGAGCTTGTGTGTGTTTATTGTTGCACTACTGCCAACGCGGCAGCGTCACAAAAAAAATAGTTCAGTTTGGAAGTATTTACTCGGCTACACGGAAGCCCACACACGAGGCTAACCCAGGGCAAAGTGCGCTTGCGGACACGCCACTTAAATCAACTTAGCTCCAAATCCCATGGACAGCCAAAACCACCAATACACACGTTCTGCAAGATATGGGCACTGACAGGCAACTGCTGAAGACCATCATTAGCAGGAAGTGTTACTACCTAGGCCACATTGCCCGAAACGACCACAAATACCAGCTATTAAAGCAAATCCTGGAAGGAAAAATCGAAGGGAAAAAACGACCAGGACGGCCAAAAACGACATGGCTCAGTAACATCAAAACATGGCTACAATTAACAACAGCACAAACTCTACACGCCGTGCTAGACCGGGACCAATATCATCGTGAAGTCGCACACGCCGTTAGGCAGCACTAAAGAAGAAGCTCCAGGTTTTGTCTACACGTGTTTTGTCAAGCGTTGAATTTGTCCGATTTCCAGCAGGGAGAGTCCCGAATCGCAACTTAACTCTAAAGTTTCGTTCGTATTTGCTCATCTTCACAAGAGTTATCATACCCCCCCCCCCCACCTCTTCTACTAAATACACGAAAGCAAAGTTTGTGGGGAATAATAGGCATTTTCTATACTTTTGAGGCATAAGCAATTAGAAAATAACACTTACTAGCCAGGAACAAAAATCGTGTTACATTTTGATATCAAACTCGCACACACATATAACCCATCACATAATTTTATTTCTTTAAATGAATACGATTTACAAAAAAATCAGCCACCAGCATTTTCATGGAGAGGGGTTTAAGTGCCTCCCCCTCCCCCAACTCCTGAAGTGAGAACTGCCCCGTGCTAATGGTGGAAATTCCACATTTCTATTGCAGGAAAAGACTCGTCTCGATAAGACAGCAAAGAAATGCATTCGACACGTAAACATTGCTCAACTCAATTTAATTTGGAGACGGACAATTAAATAAGTAAATAACGAACACATCACGGCTCATGTCACACGGCTCCATGACCCTATTAATGTGAACACCTTCACAATGTACACTTCTGGGTGGGGTGGAGTGGTGGCGCGGTGGTTAGTGCACTCTGCTGCGCTACGAACTCAACGACCCTTTGAGTTTTGATTCCCAGCCACGGCTGGCACCCGCCGGTGGTGAGTGAATTATCAGTTCAGATCATCGCTCGCCGCCAATGTTAGCGCCGTGGCCAGAATCAAAAGTTCACTGGGTTCGTAACGCATTGAACGCGATAACCACTGCTGCGCCACCGCTCCACTCATTCGCATACCATTTGTATATAAGGAATGATTACACTGTATAGATTTTATGCTGCAAAGGGGATGCTAGTCTATGACTAAACTAGCGCGCGGCATGCTGCCCCCGATCTCATCCCATCTCGGAGTCTATGGAGGCTTGGACATTGTTTCGATGGGCGACCACCATGCGTAACAGGTGTTATAGGCTGTACCGTTGCTTAACCTTGTACGTGGAAGTTGGATGGTGAGGGGGGCTAAGCGACCAGCCTTAGAAAGGGGACGAGGTGTCCCTTTCTGTGCTCTCTTGACGCTGGTTGGCGAGGGGATCATAGAGTTTGCTTTTGCGCGCACGGTGGCGAGTTGTTAAATACCTCGCCTGGTATGCAGGATGTCGTGGGTTCGTTCCCGACCCTGACACCTGTTGTGTATTTGGAGTTTGCGTGTCTCTCTCACCGTGGATTTTTCTCCGGGTTCTCCGGTTTTTCCTCCACATTTAGAAAGATGCGTTTAGATTATTTGGCCGCTATACATTTCCACCTGGCAAGCCACTTTGCCGAGCTACCATTTGTAGCTGATCGCTTATGAAAAATAGCTATACAGCAGCTCAGTGGGCCTTACGTGGTAAAGTTTCGTTTTCATTGCGCTTGTGCACCACTGGCAGCAGCATCGCCGGGTAAGCTGCCCGGCGTTACCGAGCAGGAATTCCCGGCGGCACGCGATCATCGACACCCACACAACGGGTCACGCTACAATGCAGGGCTGTCACGCAGAGGTCGCAACCGGGTACCTGATACCCGTTCCCTACCCGATACCCGGCTACCCGTACCAGGCCGGGTATGGGTACCCGTTTGCGACCCTGGTGCGGCCGGGTACAGGTAGGCCGTGAGTCACTGGTGAGTAACCGTTTGTCACTCATTTCCCAATGTCTTGTCTCTTCTCACAATTCAAGTTCCTAGAATCAACCCACCCGCACCTGCAACATGGCTTCATCCCAGAGGTCGCAATCAGGTACCCGATACCCGTACCCTACCCGTACCCGGCCGGGTACGGGTAGGGTACGGGTACGGCCGGGTACGGATACGGGTACTCGTTTGCGACCCTGGTGCGGCCGGGTACGGGTAAGGAATCAAAACCCGTTTGCGACCTCTGCTGTCACGGCGGTGGTTCCGTGGTCAGAACTTCATGACGAGGGTCTCTCCGTGAAGTCCCTTCCCAGGTTGGTCCAGGTTGGGTCTCGTTTCACGGTGGAGGGGGGGGGGGGGGTTCCACCGCAGCTGATCGTCCGTCCGTCCGTCCGCACCGTGGGTCTGTGGTGCCACATTGACCCCCTCACTGGTCGAGCAGCATCTCCTTGAGCTTGTCGGCCTTGGCGCGCCGCAGGTGGATGAGCGAGCGTCGGGCGAGGAAGCTCTCGACGAAGTCGTCCAGCGGCAGCTCGCCCGCCAGGAAGCTCTCGGCCACGGCCTGCGGAGACACCGGGCGCGCGCGTGTTAGCCGGCCAGATTAAAATAAAAAAAATTAGGGATGAGCTCACGATTTTCAGATTTCAGGTTTCAAGCATTGGCTGACCATCGAGCAAAGACGGTCACTGCATCGAGCACATTCAGGTGCGCTTCTGCGGCCATCTGGAACGCTCTTCCTTCCGATATTAGGAAGCAACTGTTCTAAATAAATTCGTTTTCATCGAGACTGAAAACGAATTTCTTTAGAACAGATTTTTGTGTTTAGTTTGTTGTCCTTCCCCCGCATCTCCGAAAAGCACGGTTGGCTACACACGGTACGAAGGAAGTTTAACATACTTTGGTCTGCCAGTAGGGGGTGATGATTGCTGCTGTGTGTGTGTGAATGCAAATGAGTAAGGTGCGGTGTCCAATTTAGTTAAATTTGCACCGTCGATTTATCCAGAAATTACAATTTATGATGATCTGTAAATTGGCGTTCCTTTCGCATTGAGCCAAAAAAAACGCAAGTGACATCACCGGCAAAACAATAGCAGCGAAGATTGTTTTTATTTTAGCAAAGTAACAAATTGTGCTGGGAATTCGATCGTGTGCTCGTGAAGCCAGAATCTGTCAGTGACGGTGATTGGTGACAGGGTCCAGGAATTCACACCCACTCCACTGCCCCCCGCATCGCTGTAACCCAGCCTGGGACTGACGCTAACCCCGGAGAGAGCGTGGATGATATTTAAATTCGATGCCAACAACGCTCGGGCGTAAGAGCCGGAGCTCGGAGCGGATCGCGCGAGACCGGCTCAGAGCGGTCGTAAGCATCATTTATGAAAGGCACGAGGCAAAGGAGTAGCCTTGCAATTGCTCGGCTGCTCGCGACACACTGCTGCCGGATGGTTCTCCACTCGAGGATGTTGGGCCTACTCTTCCACGCCGGCCGGACGTCTTGAAAGAGGTGGCAGTACCCACACTTAGGCCCCATCACAGACGGATGTCAACCCGCTTGCTGTTCTGCCACCGTACGTACGCTGGAAAACCAGGAGGTGGCATGACACCACGTGCAGGGATGGAGCTACACGAGGGTGGTCTGCGTGATCCGCCAACCCTCTGTTACCACCACAGCTCCCACCGCCAGTCTCATAAATGTACGACTCTAGTTTGACCGCATTCCTTTGGCAGAGGTCGCTGGTCCGACGCAATCTTCCGTCGTGAATACCTGGCAGGACCCTCTTTAGGCAAGTGTCACGAGACTCGGCGAGGCCTTCCCCGGGCGAACGAGCGCAAATAAAACGATGATGATAATAAGAATAAAAATACGAGCGAATTTTTTCATTTTTTTATCAGCGCCAAGGGTGTTTGTGGGTAAAGGAGCTTTGCGCTAAGACGCGGCTAATCCGCTATTAGGCCCGGATAGCGGCCGGGGCAGGCAGACGCTCTCCTTGAATAAATACAGTCCCCCCGTGTGCCCTCGCCCCCCCCGCTCCCACCACACCAGAATCATCAATTGCTCCCTAACCGCACCCCACCCCATCTCAATCCTATGCCTGTGTAGCACAATAACCACGGGGCGGTGGGGAGGGTAGCGGGTGGTGGTTGAGGCTGGCGGTGCACCGTACACAGCCTGGTTCACTTAGGAGGGGAGAGGGGAAGAGAGGGGAGTGGGGGGAGAGAGGGGAGGAGAGAAGGGGAAGAGAGAGCAGATGGGAGAGGAGAGGGGAGGAGAGGACAGGGAGGGGAGGAGGCAGGAGAGATGGAGGAGAGAGTAAAGGAGAGAGAGAGGAGAGGAGGGGGGCGGAGCGGGGAAGGGGGGGGGGCGTGGTGGGGTGGCTAGATGGCCGTGCCGCCCTCCTCACTGCTGGCCCTCCGCTCTCCGGGTGACGCAGGCCGTCAACAGCCCGCCGGTGCCTGGCAGGCACAGCGCCATTCAGGGGCGACATCCCAACTGGCAACGGGGCACGACCGCACAGTTGTCGCTCGCTCCCGCAGAGAGGGAGCAGCACGACGACTCGGAGACACGAGGAGGAGGAACCGCAGATGGGCGGAGAAGGCAGCCGCTGGGCGGTACCAACAATTGCCCAAGCTCTGCAGTTCTCTATATATTAATCTAATTCATATATTTCGATTTAAAGCTTTCGTGACTGCAGGGATTCATCTTCTTGGTTTTTTCGGTAAAGGCACGTAGAAGGGAAATAATAAAGCGATAAAAATAATAAAACATAATAAGATAATATAATAAAACATAATAAAATAATATAATAACTCTTTTTTTAATGCTTTATTTTTATTATTTTATTATTTCCCTTCTACGTGACTTTACCGAAAGAACCAAGAAGATGAACTAATTTATATATATAGAGTGCGTTCACACAAGGAGCTTGGCACAGCTTACAGAACGGTGACAGAATGGAACGATGTAGTTAATAGGGGCGTGAGAGGATTGAGAAACGAGTGGCAGCGTTCGGGGGTTCTGAGGGATCACGAAAGGGTAGGGGAGGAACGGGAAGTAGGGGGGGGGCGAGTATTTACATCTTCCCCGAGCTGCGTGTCCCCTCATCTCTCTCTCCGTGTTCTCGTCTCTCCGCGTGTCTCGATCGCCAATCACTCACCTCGGCCTCATCCTCAGCCTTGGCCGTTTCCGCTTGAAGCAGGGCGAGCAGCGTTTCCGGACAGCAGCTGCCGTCAAAACTCTCGGCTGTGGTGGGAGGATGGTGGGGGGTAGTAGGGGAGAGTGGAGGGGGGGGGGCAGAGTGGCGATGAGAGGGGGCCCGAGGGTGGGTGGAAGATTGGACAGGGTGGCACAAAAAGGGTTTTCTTGAATCTTCAATAGAATTGTCAACTTGATGATCACACCAACGTGAGTGCAGAACTTGGTGCAGTAATTGGCGGCCGGCCTGACAGCATCGTCTCACTAGACTCGAGAAATCGGTATAATCACAATGTCGCGCGTGTGTGCGCGTGTGTGTGCGCGCGAGTGTGTGCGCTACTTCACTGGTGAACTCAAAGTGCACCTCGCCTTGGCACAAGCGCCGTGGTGGCATCACCGCCACCGAGTGGCGGCTGTTGTTTTTGTTGTTACGGTAATGGGCAGCGGTGCAACAGCACAAACTAGAGCCACAAATATTCACGAATAATAACACAGTTTCGATTTAAAGCTTTCGTGACTGCAGGGATTCATCTTCTTGGTTCTTTCGGTAAAGTCACGTAGAAGGGAAGTAATAAAATAATAAAAATAAAACATAATAAAATAATTCTCACGACGTTTCGGCCACAACGCAAGCAGCCGTCCTCAGGTGAAGAACAGGTCTGTCTTTCCGTCTGTCTTTCTGACAGACCTGTTCTTCACCTGAAGACGGCTGCTTGCGTTGTGGCCGAAACGTCGTGAGAATTATTTAATTATGTTTTATTTTTATTATTGTATTATTTCCCTTCTACGTGACTTTACCGAAAGAACCAAGAAAAAGAAAAAATAACACAGTTGCCCTAATAAGTAAAAACGCATACAACAGGCTACGGCTTTCAGGCAATAATGCCATGAAGGACCCATTGCCCGAAACGTTGCATGTTATATCTATATACACTGCACATTTTTAAGTATTGTTTACTTTTAGGGCCACGGTGGTTATTTATGGTGTCATCACGGGCAGCCTTGAGCGTCCAATGAGCGCTGCGGGGCCGGGCTGGTTTGCTTAAGGCGGTCGAGGTTTTGGTAGAGTGGGCGGGCGGGTAGATGGGTAGGATGGATGGGTGAGGCAGCGGGTCAACCCGGCCGTTAACCTCCGAGGAAACCCCATCAGGTGGATGATTCAATCGTTCCCGTTAGCGCAAACCAGGTGATTGATGGGTGTCCCTCTGGGACTCGCGTTAGGCCCAGGCCGCACGCGAGGTTTCGCAATCTCTTCCAATCACGGCGGCGAAATCGGGCATCTTCACCCTCCCCAGCTACCCCCTTACCTTTCCCCCCGGCACCTCCAGACCCCCCCCCACTCCTCCCCCTCAACCTACTCTCACACAGATCGCCCTCCCTCCAGCTTCTAGTCCAGGGGTCAGCAAATGCGGCTCTTTTAAGGACCCGCTTAATGACGTTATTCACGTTGCACTTTGGCTCCTGAAATGTTGAGTTTTTTTATACCGAATTTGAAAAAATTGGCTCTCATTGTTATTTTATTTTCCGACCGGTGTCCTAGCCAATGAGCTTTGTCGGGTTCACACGTAATTCGCAACACTTCCTGGAATCATAACAATCATCATCGTCATCCACTGCTGGATGACGGCCTCTTCCAAGCCGTAGCCACCGCTCCATCTCCACGTTCCCCCCGCACCCTTTGGCTGCCACATCCGTAGCCAGTCTCGACCAAGTGGCGGCCTTCATTCTCCAAACTCGCTTCGATGTTCCCAACAGAGTCAATTCGGACGAAGTCTCCGAACGTGCGTATCGCTACTTTTATTTGGGGATGTTGCTGCTGACTGTTGCTGCTGCTGCTGCGTTGGCAGCGGTGCACAAGCACAGGCCAACAAAATGAAAACTCACTTCAGAGCACGGAGAGATTGTCAGATTGACCGATGTGATCGGAACACATTTCAAGCATGTATTGCCGTGCCCGGCATGCCACATCCGGTATCACCTCTCGCTGTCGGGCTGCGTGGTGATTATGCAGCAGTCACTCTTCTTGGCCTCCACTCAACCACCCAGGCTGAACAATGACAGGGAACCCCCCTATACTCTTAGGTTTTTTTCGGTAAAGTCACGTAGGCAAAAAATTTATAATAATAAAATTGAAAAAAATAATAGAAATAAATAATAAATCACGACGTTTCGGAGGCAACACAAGCTTCCGTCTTCAGGTGGAACCGTCACAACACGATTGCTGTATCAAGTAAAGAGAAATCCCAAGAGACCCGTGATTTATTATTTTATTTATATTATGCTGTATGCGAGATGGATTAAGGGCAGCACAGCACACGAGCAGGTCGGTGTGGCTAACACCACGCCTGGCCGCCTTTGTCTCCCCAGCGCTGATGCTTACACACCGAGTTCCCTTAAGAGAGGCACAACACCGGTTCAGATGATATCCGCCACCGATATTGGCCACGACAGGGAATCGAACTCGGGTAGCTGGGTTCGTAGCGCAGCGCGCTAACCACTGCACCGCCGCTCCCCCTAATGACATAAAGACCCTCACGCTGACACACGGGCCCAGTTGCGTAACCGCGGTTGACCCCAGGCGATGGGTGGTGGAAACGCGAGACTGGGGCACACGTGGCAAAACGTGCGAGTGTGGCGCGGGGAGGTGATGTTCGTACACAGCCCTCACGTGCCTCCACGTGGCTCCACTTACTCTCCCTGTGGCCTCCACCCACTCGCCCCAGTAGCTCCACCCACGGTCCTTGTGGCTCCACCCACTCTCCCTGTGGCTCCACCCACTCTCCCTGTAGCTCCACCCACTCTCCCTGTGGCCGCCACCCACTCGCCCCAGTAGCTCCACTCGCTTTTTCTTTGGGGCCCCAACCCACTCGCTCCAGTGGCTCCATCGACTTTCCCCAGGGGCGCCAGTCCATGTTCCTATGGCTCCAACCATTCGATGTAGCTCCACCCCTGACCCCATGTGGCTCCTCCCACTCTTCCGATGGCTCCACCCATTCAATGTGGGTCCACCCCGACTCCCTGTGGCTCCACCCACTCAATCAGTCGCTCCATCCATTCAATGTGGGTCCACCCCTGTCTCCATGTGGTTCCACCCACTCAATCAGTGATGCCACCCAATTAGGCTCCACCCCCATCTCCCTGTAACTCCACCCACTTTCCCCGTGGCCCCACCCATCCAATGTGACTCCACCCACTCAATCAGTCGCTCCACCCATTCAATGTGGGTCCACTCTGTCTCCTTGTAGCTTCACCCACTCCATCAGTGGTGCCACCCAATTAGGCTCCACCCCCATCTCCCTGTAGCTCCACCCACTTTCCCCGTGGCCCACCCATCCAATGTGACTCCACCACCTTCTATAGCCCCCCCTCCCCCCCACACTTCAGCCAATGGGGCAGCGTCCGCTCGCTCACACCTCCCAGCCCCCCCCCCACAACAACTTCTGGCCACAACCCCCTCACTAGCCAATCAGCAGCGGCCCGTGTGACACACCCACGAAACGGCAGCTGGCCACAGCATTGGCTCCCAGCCACGCGCGTGACTCACGCCACTGCGGTAGAGACAGAACACGTGGACATGCGCGCACAAAGACAAAGGTCCCCCGTATAGCCTCGACAGACTCATGGGGCAAGTGCTGTTCGCGAGCACCTACGAAAGGCCGGAACGGCACAGCGGTGGGTGGGGGTGGCCAGCAGCACACACCCGGCCGCCTTTGTTTCCCCAGTGGCGATGTTTACACAACGCACCAGGTTACTCATTCGAGGCTGAGTCGACCTAGGGGAGGCCCAGGCCTGGTTCAGATCATCGTGGCGGTGTTGGCCGTTAGGGGGAATCGACCTCAGGTCGTTTGTAGCAAAGCGTCATGCGCGCACACGAACATGTGAACATGCACACGAACATGCGAACATGCACACGAACATGTGAACATGCACACGAACATGCGAACATGCACACGAACATGCGAACATGCACACGAACATGTGAACATGCACACGAACATGCGAACATGCACACGAACATGCGAACATGCACACGAACATGCACACGAACATGTGAGCACGCACACGAACATGCGAACATGCACACGATAATGCGAACATGCACACGAACATGCGAAAACGCACACGAACATGTGAACATGCACATGTATGTGCAGCCCCTTTTGTAAACCCCCTGATGCATGAGCGATGTCTGCGGAGTCGTGGGGAGATATTTGAGCATACTTCACCACGCTGATGTAACAGCACCACAATCATAAACACCCTCACCACGATTACTATCAACACCCTCACCACGATGTTACCTTCACCATAATCAGCTCCACTCTCACCACAACCAGCACCAACACTTATCACCACCACCACAACAACTCTGACCCCAAGGCAATGGGGCATACTTTTGCCCCAACCTCTCTCTAAAAACAGTGACATAGATCAACCCAAAGCCCGGTCTCATTACCACTCCATACAGATACTCCTCTACTTACGAACATTCGACTTATGAACTTTCAGAGACACGAACAAACCTGTCCGTACGTCCAGTTGCCTGTTCGGACCGAGAGTCGTAAGTTCAATCGCCGCGCAATATGTGGCGGTGGTGGCATCTACATCTGCAGAACGTGAAGAACCAGCGGCATCTACATCTGCAGGAGATTATACAACAATCCTCGTGTTTAGCGTGAATGCCGTACAACGTGTTTGGAATCGACAGGAGTAAAGTTGGACTTACGAACAAATCGACTTAGGAACAGACCTCTGGTATCCATAATAGAGGTTTTTGGGTGAGATTGCGTAAATATAAATGTGTCGGTAAACCCGCCGCCACCCGGCACAGCCAATTAGTAAGGTTTGTCACCTAAACAAAACATGCCAATTCGTTACTAGTTTAGTCCACCGATGTGTTGAAGAGTAAAACCCACAACATTTACAATTCGAGTACTATGTTTTGCTAGGAGTCTGTATATGCAAGTCTGTGGGTCTCTATGCGAGTCTGCGGGTTGCTATGCAAGTCTGTTGGTCTTGGCAAGTCTTCGGGTCTCTATGAAAGTCTGTTGGTGTCTATGTCATTCTGTGGGTCTGTGTGCTAGTCTGTGAGTCTCTGCGGGTCTATATGTAAGTGTAACGGTCTCAATACGGGTCTGTGGGTCTCTGCGAGTCTGTTGGTCTCTTTGCGAGCTTGCGGTCATCGGGGCAGAGGCGATAACTCGTGCCGCGTGTGAACCCGCTTTAACCACATCTGGGCGGCTGAAACCCAGAATGGAAGCCAGGATCTCAGCGGTACCGGCTCAACGGCGTCTCTGATCTGAGGCCACCGCCTGGCCACCTCTGCTCTTGCTGGCGGCGGTGGTAGTGGTGGTGGCTTTCACTGCTGTGTACAACAAGCGGGGAAATGTGGCTGTGGGGCGATGAGGGTTGGAACGAGGACAGACCCGGAGGGGACCGGGGGGGGGTGTAAGTGGACCAGGAGTGGGACGAGAGGCTACGCCGTCTCCTGATTGGTCGCCGCGACCACAACAACACTGGGGCCGAGTGCGTTGATTCAGTGCCCTCTTCCCGGGATGAATCCGAGAAGAGAAAATTGCTGCAATTGTCACGATCCTGCCGAAGCAAATCCCTGTTATAATTAGCGTCGTTATTGTCGATGCCCTTGTGCCCAGGACACGATCCAGTTTCATTGTTATGAACGACCAAGCAGAATTAATTTCCCCCCGTGACTTGCTGGCCGGTGACCTGCCAGCCGGCCCTCTGCATCTGTGCTCCACGTGGCCAGTAAGCCAGCACTGCGGGGGGCAGTGCGGGTTGGCGAATCACGCGCACGCACACGTCCACGCCGCCGACTCTCGTGTGCCGCGTCGTCCATCCTTTTGGCCCCGCCCCCCTCCCCTTCCCGATACGTTCTACGTGGCACTTCGTGCCGTCTTTGAGCCCCGCCCCCCTCCCTCCCGATACGTTCCATTCATTGGCTACCACATTCTGATGAGCTCCCCCCCCCTCTCCTCCCCCCTCAACTTGCTTGTTAAGGGATTACATCTTGAATCATTGCCTCACTTGATGCAGCAAATCTGGCTGTGACGGTCCCACCTGATGACGGAGACTTGTGTTGCCTCCGAAACGTCGTGATTTTAATTTTATTTTACTTTTATTAATTTTAATGTTTTACCTACGTGACTTTACCGAAAAAACCTAAGAATATGAATCCTTGCAGTCACGAAAGCTTCAAATCTAGAATTCGTGAAACTACCTTCTGCTTCCCACCCCGTGAGCGTTGATGTCGCCACCCCCTGACCGGCCAGGGTACGATGGCAGTACAGCAAGCGGGTTGATACCCTCGCGATTGAAAGGCTGCACACCTTTATCGTCTTACTACTGTACACTCACTCGGCCAATCATTCACCTACTCACTCATCCACTCACCCTCCCGCTCACGAAACCACCAACTCACTCGACGGGGGGAGGGGGGGTGGGGGAAGAGTCGTCCCCTCTCCTCGACAGAGACAGGCGATGACACTGTGCGGTGCTGGCAGCAGCGTGGTGTTTGTTTCACAAAAGCCGACACGACCACAGCATTGTAACCCCACGCTAGGCGCGTGCTGCGTGTGACCCCAGCAGCAGTGCCAGGGTGGCTAGATGTTAACCACCTCGCCTGGTATACAGGAGGTCGTGGCTTGTTGTTTATTTGGAGTTTGCATGTCCTCTCTGTCTCCCCGCGGTCGCGTGGATTTTTCCCCGGGTCCTTCGGTTTTTCCCCTCCAAGGTTTAGGGTCAACTGTCACGCGTTCGGGGTATTTGGCTGCTGCTATGAATGTCGACACGACGACAAGCCACTTCCGTTGACCTATCATTTGTGATCGCCAGGTCCGTGCTCGCCAAAAAAATGTGTTTATAGTTAGAAAAGTCCATAATAGAGGTTTTGGGTTAGATGGCATAAATATATAAAACCCGCCAACACCCGACACAGCCAACTAGTAAGGGTTGTCACGTAAACTGAACGTGCCAATTCGTCACTAGTACAGCACTAGTGTGTGTTGTAGTGTATAGTGTAGTATACTAGTACAGCACTAGTGTATAGTGTAGTGTATAGTGTAGTGTATAGTGTACTGTATAGTAGTGTAGTGTACTAGTACAGCAACACCGCTGTGTTGGAGAGCCAAGCCACAACATTTACAATCTGAGTACGACGTTTCGCCGGTAATTACAACCAGCTTCATCAGGCGACAGCCAGATTTGTGGAGAAGTCCACATGATGCATGCGCATTATGCGAGCCCTTTCCTCTTGTCCTTCCTGTCCATGGCACGTTCTGTTTACGAGACAACCCTCACTAGTTGGCTGTGTCGGGTGTTGGCGGGGTTTGAACGACACATTCATATATTTACGCGATCTCACCCCCCCCAAAAAAACCCTCTACTATGGATATTTGTCGTGAAAGCCTACCACGCGTTAGCACAGTTTGAGCACTTTGTACCGAGCTGGCGCTGCTTGTGCTGGTAGTCGCGCAGCAGCTCGTGCAGCTGCTGGTACTTGCTGCTCAGCACGGCCCTGGACAGCGCCAGCTGCGGCTCCAGGCCCACGTTGAGCTCCGCGAGGCTGCGCGTGCTCGCCACGGCCGTGCAGCGCTCCAGCTCCACGCACTGCACCTGCCCAGCACCCACACGGGCCCCCCCCCCGCAACAACAACGTGGGGGGTGGGGTCAGGGTCGGGGGTGGGGTCAGGGTCGGGGTCAGGGTCGGGAGTGGGGTCAGGGGTGGGGTCAGGGGTGGGGTCAGGGGTGGGGTCAGGGTCGGGGTCAGGGTCGGGGGTGGAGTCAGGGGTGGGGTCAGGGGTGGGGTCAGGGTCGGGGGTGGAGTCAGGGTCGGGGTCAGGGGTGGGGTCAGGGTCGGGGTCAGGGTCGGGGGTGGGGTCAGGGGTGTGGCGGGGGGGGGGGGGATTTGGAGGGGGGGGGGAGAAAGGGTATAAAGGCACAGCCCTGCAAGTGCTTAACTCGAGTTGCCCATCCACCAGCGGGATTATCTCTCTGTTTACAAAGACCCCCTCCCCCCCCCCGTATAGTCTTAACAGGCTTTTGGGTTTATAGCCTTTAAGTGCTGTTAGCGAGTAGCACCTATGAAGGCCGGCACGGCACGAGATGGGTGGTGTGACAGTACCACGCCCGGCCGCCTTTGTCTCCCGAGTGGCAATGTTTGTACACTCAAACATCCACACACAAACCCGTACACACAAGACAAAGATCCCCCGTATAGCCTCAACAGACTGTTCGGGCAAGTGCTGTTAGTGAGCACCTATTAAGGCCGGCAGGGCACAACGAGAGGGTGGGTGGGCCAGCACCACGCCCGGCCGCCTTTGTCTCCCCAATTGGCGATGTTTACACATCTCTGCGTCGACCTAGGGCTGAGTCGACCTAGCGGAGGCCCACAACCGGTTCAGGATAATCGCCACGGGCGTTGCCGGTGGCCGTGATCGGGAATCGAACTCGGGAGTCGCCGGGTTTCGTAGCGCTAACCGCTGCACCACCGCTCCCCATGACCGCCACACTTGCAATGCCTCTAGATGTAGTTAAAATTAGGCGATTGTTACGAAACGACGCGCAAGACACAAACACCCCGGCGAGACGAACACCGGTCAGCCAGAAGAGACATCGAATCGCCACACCTCGGCTGTGCCGGGTGGTGGCGGGTTTAACGACACATTTATATATTTACACGATCTAACACCCTCCATCCCCCCCCCCCCCCAAAAAAAAACTGTTTCATGGATGATTTTGACTTAAAACTTTCGTGATATTAGGAATTCATATTCTAACGGTTCTTTCGGTAAAGTCGCGTAGATAAAATAAATACAATTAGAATATTAAGGATGATATTGGTCGCGAAAATCTGCGAGCTATTCAACTGAATAAAGAGCATAATAAAGGTTTTTGGGTCAGATCGCGTTATTTATAAATGTGTCGTAACCCTCCACCACCCGACACGGCCAAACAGTAAAAAATGTGTCACGTTTTTCAAAGGACAAAATAATTCACTTCATTAGCCCAAAAACCTATATTATGAATACTATTGGTCGCGAAAGCCTACGCGTTAAATTGAATAAAGAGCAATTTACATTCGGATTCCAGCAGCCCCCCCCCCCCATTCTATACCCCCCCATTGCCCCCCTCACTAAATAGTAAATCCGAGCCAACTTCAGACTCCTGAGTTCAATCCCCGTGTGATTGTAAAACGCTGTTCCTAACTGTATACAGTGGGCGGGAAATCCCTACACCCCGCACGCCGTGCGAGTCAATGGCACCCGCCTACACGGAGAGTGTACGGACTTCTCGCCCACCTCCCCCCCGTACGAACGCAGTCTCATAATAGCCCCCCCCCTCTCTCGTGACCCCACACTGTCCCCCCCGATCCCCCAATACCCCCCCCACTCTACCTCACTTCCCCTATCCCCTCTCAACCACTCCCCCTCCCCTCCAATCCCCTTCGTCCCCTCTCCCTCGTTACCCCTCCCCCCCGTACCCCCCCCCCCCGCCGCCCCCTATCCCCTCTCCAGCCCCCCCTCCGCGCCACCAGCCCCCCCCCGCACCAGCCCCCCCCCCCCCGCGCCACCAGCCCAACCCCCCGCGAGCCCCCCCTGACCTCGTCTCGCGCCACCAACCCCCCGCCCGCGCCACCAGCCCCCCCCCGCGAGCCCCCCCCTGACCCCCCCCCCCCGCGAGCTCCCCCCCGCGAGCCCCCCCCTGACCCCCCCCCGCGAGCTCCCCCCCCTGACCTCGTCTCGCTCACGCGCCACCAGCCCCCCCCCCGAGCCACCAGCCCCCCCCCCCCCCGCGCCACCAGCCCCCCCCCGCACCACCAACCCCCCCCCCGCGCCACCAGCCCCCCCCCCGCCACCAGCCCCCCCCCCACGAGCCCCCCCCCCTGACCCCCCCCGCGAGCCCCCCCCCTGACCTCGTCTCGCTCCCGCGCCATCTCCGCGATCTTCTCGTCGTTCTGCAGCAGCCCCCGCAGCTGCTGGAGGCTCAGGAAGCGGAGCTGCTCGAACGACGCCGCCGTCGCCGAGGGGATCTGGGGACTCTGGGGGCTCTGGGGGCTCGTGTGGACCCCCGTGCCCTGCTGCGTGCCCCACTGCGCGTTCATCTTTCAGTCGAGGGGGTGGGGGGGTGGGCTCCGGTCAATCCGCTTCGACGGAAAATCCGCTTCCGTCGCGCGCGTCGGCCGTTCGTGTCGTCGAGTAATTTTATAATTTAGTTTGTATTTTGTTTACTATGCCGGAGGGAGGGGGGGTGTTTCATCCCCGTTGCGATGTTCGGTGTGGTAGTGCCCCCTAGTGGCTGTGAGAACGACGAGGTGGTGATGATGATGGTCATGGTGGTGGTGATGATGGTGGTGATGATGATGGTGGTGGTGATGGTGATGATGATGGGGTGATGATGATGGTGGTGATGATGATGGTGGTGGTGGTGATGGTGGTGGTCATGATGATGGTGATGGGGTGATGGTGGTGGTCATGATGATGGTGATGGTGGTGGTGAGGGTGGTCATGGTGACGATGGTGGTGATGATGGTGGTGGTCATGATGATGGTGGTGATGGTGGTGGTGATAGTGATGATGGTGGTGATAGTGGTGATGGTGGTGGTGATAGTGATGATGGTGGTGGTGGTGATGGTGGTGGTCATGATGATGGTGATGGTGGTGATGGTGGTGGTGATAGTGATGATGGTGGTGATAGTGGTGGTCATGATGATGGTGGTGATGATGATGGTCATGGTGATGATGGTGGAAAAAAATGCATCTTGTTTATTTGGTTTACCGACCCCTGGTTAATGACGATCGGTTTCGTGTTCACTCGCGTAACGACGCGTCGATTGATCGATTTAAATCGATGATTTGGAGGCGCGTCGATGTTTTGTTGTTGTTGTTGCTGCTTGGTGGCATCTGTGATGTGGTGAGTGTTGCAAGCGATGATCGTCGTCGTCGGCAGCCATGGTCAATCCACTGCTGGATGAAGGCTTCCCTCCCCATACAGGAGGTCGCCTGGGTTCGAACCCGACCCTGATATTTGGAGTTTGCATGTTCTCCCTGTGGTCGCGTAGATTTTTTTCTCCGGGACCTCCGGGTTTTCTCTGCACATTTAGAATCGATACGAGTATTTGGCTACTAACACATTCCTGCGGAGGGAGCTAGTAGGAACGTTGGGTTGCTCGGTCAATGACCAGGGTCAACGGCGGCGTGGTGTATTCCGCAAATATGCCCGACTGTGAGGGCGGGCACAAGCCGGCGTGAGTAGGTGAAACGTTGAGTTTTATAAGGGCACCACGGGGTGACAAGCCCCTCCCCACCCAGCCCCTCCCCACCCAGCCCCTCCCCACCCAGCCCCACCCCTCCCACCCCCCACCCAGCCCCACCCTCCCCACCCAGCCCCACCCTCCCCACCCTCCCCACACAGCCCCTCCCTGCACGACGGACGGACACAATATTCCCCTGTGGGCTGGTGTAACCAGGAGGGTTCCTACCAGTATAAAAATCCACGTGATAAGCGACTTCGTTGAGCTAACATTTGTGGTCAGGTGGCTTCTGAAAAAAGAGCGATATCGCTCAGTGGGCCTTACCTGGTAAGATACAAAAAACATTGTTCAGCTTATAGTTTTAATCCACGTGTTCATCTTTCCTAGTCTCGCAATGGAATTCCAATTAAGCGCGTTCATCTCCGTAAATTGTATTATGTAAACGAGACGCTACTCTTACGTTTAGGCAAATGGCACTAACAGCATGGAGCCACAGACTCACACAGAGAGCCACAGACTCACACAGAGACCCACATGCCCACACACAGTGAGCCAAAGACTCGCAGAGAGGCACAGACTCACACAGAGACCCACAGGCTCACACACAGTGAGCCAAAGACTCACAGAGAGCCACAGACTCACACAGAGACCCACAGGCCCACACACAGTAAGCCATAGACTCACAGAGAGGCACAGACTCGCACAGAGACCCACAGGCTCACACACAGTGAGCCACAGACTCACAGAGAGCCACAGACTCACACAGAGACCCACAGGCTCACACACAGTGAGCCACAGACTCACAGAGAGACACAGACTCACACAGGCTCACACACAGTGAGCCATAGACTCACAGAGAGGCACAGACTCACACAGAGACCCACAGGCTCACACGCAGTGAGCCACAGACTCGCAGGGAGCCATGGCTCTGCTCCGACAGTTCTCCGCCACCATCTGCCCCGAGGTCTTCTCTTCCCCTTGGCCACCAGACTCGTGGTGACCGCTCCAGTGGCCGGGCCCCTCACCCCCCGTCCTGCACACACAGGGAAGGTCCCAACCAGGGAGGGGGTGGGGGGAGTCCCATCCAGGGGGGTCCCATCCGTGGTTGGAGGGGGGGTCCCATCTCTTGCCGAGTTGTATCGCCCGTAGCGGCACTCACCTTGCCCCGTGTTCTCCTGCCCACGGGATTCCCAGCATCCCTAAGTCGGGACTTCTTGGCTCAGACGTGACCAAGGTCTTCGTGTCGAGCCGCTGAGTTTGGGACCCAGCTCGCTGTCTCTCTCTCTATCTCGCTGGGCCGTCCACGCGGTTAACGGGAGCAGCTGCAATGACCTTGTTCTTGATGCTCATAGCAAGAATACATCATCGAGTATTCGATAGAATCTATGATCTCGAATCGTATCGTTCGTGGATTTGTTCAGTGTAACGGTTAATCGATTGACAAATCGCCTATGGAACTCATTATCGTATCCCAAAATCGATTCGGTTGTGTAAGAATCGACGCGTGTTTTTTTTATAGGCGTGTAAACATTAGCACTGGGGAGACAAAGACGGCTGGGCTTGGTGGTTGGCTTGGCGTTTGGGGGGATATTTGTATTTGCATGTGTGCGTGTACATAGGGACTGTGTACGTGTGCATCGAACTGCTGTGTACGAGCACATACGCGACTGTGAGTGACGACTGCATGAATGAAAGCGACATACACGCCCACATAACGCGACCATCAAACACACACACACCAATACACACATGCGCCTATAGGAACACACACAAAGACAAAGGTCCCTCTATAGCCTCGAGCAGATGATTGGGGCAAGTGCTGTTGGCGAGAACGCAAGGAGATGTGATGTGGCCAGGACCACGCCCGAATATACAAAGACAAAGAACCCCCGTATAGCCTTAACAGACTATTGGGGCAAGTGCTGTTAGCGAGCACCTATGAAGGCTGGCACGAAGGGGTGGGTGGCCAGAACCACGCCCGGCCGCCTTTGTCTCCCGAGTGGCGATGTTTATACCGCACCAGGTACTCATTTGAGGCTGAGTCGACCTTGGGGAGACCCAGTAGCGGTTCAGATAATCGCAATTGGTGTTGGTGGCCTGGAGCGGGAATCGAACAAACTCAGGTCCCTGGGGTTCGTAGCGCAGCGCGCAAACCACTACGCTACCGCTCCCCCACAACCATTCACACACCCACACACACGGACACCCACACACACGGACACCCACACACACGGACCCCCATTCACTCCCCACGCAAACAGCCACGTACACACACACATATACATCTACACACACATACACATCTACACACACACATACACATCTACACACACACATACACATCTACACACACACATCTACACACACACACATCTACACACATACATCTACACACACACACATCTACACACACACATCTACACACACACATCTACACACACATACACATCTACACACACACATACACATCTACACACACACACATACACATCTACACACACATCTACACAATACACACATCTACACACACATACACATCTACACACACACATACACATCTACACATATACATCTACACACATACACATCTACACACACATACACATCTACACATACACATCTACACACACACACATCTACACACACCCACACACACGGACCCCCATTCACTCCCCACGCAAACAGCCACGTACACACACACATACACATCTACACACACACACATCTACACACACACATCTACACACACACATACACATCTACACACACACATACACATCTACACACACACACACACATCTACACACACACATCTACACACACGCATTTTGATATCGGTGTCGTTGTCCTAAAATTCTGGGGGAGTCATCCCTACGCCCCGCCCCTCGCCCACTCCCTCCCCCCTCCCTCTCCCCCACAGCCCCGCCCCCCCACAATCTCCTCCGCACTGCGATCCTGCAGCCAATCGCGCGCACGTTGCCATGGCCACGGACCACGGTCACCATGGTGACGCGAGCGCATCTTGGCTGCATTGCGGCGAGGGGCGGGGTCACGTGTAGGGTCAGGGGTGGGGGTTGGTGACGGGGTGGGGGCGGCTCAGCGCTGGAGTCACCCGTTCGCAGCAGCAATCGGAAGTGTTGGGAGTTCACATCCTGATCGGGGTGATGGGAGGAGGGAGGGGGGGACATCAGCCCATCGTCTCTGCGGTGTGGCTAAAATCGGTACCACTTTGTCGGGAAGTGAACAGCAGTTGTGCTGTGAATAGAATCATCCCCGTCGTAGGAATGTGGAATTTCCGCCATCATCCGCTTAGGGCTGCCCAGTGAACATATGAGCAAGAGACATTGCTGTGAACTTTTTGGAGGTGTTAAAGAGCGGGGTAGGGGTTAGTTTTAGAGCAGAGCTAGGGTCCTGAGTCGGACTAATGGTGGCTGCAGGCTTAGGGGTAGAGTTAGGGGTAGGAGTCGTGTTAGGGTTAGGGGTTGGATAGTGTTAGTGTTAGGGGTTGGATAGTGTTAGGATCAGGTGTAAGGTTAAGGGGTAGCATCAGAGGTTGATGCAGTGATAGGTTTAGGGCGAGGATCGGCAACCAAAATAACAAGAAGAGACATTTTTTTCTCGAATTCCGTAAAAAAAAAAACTCTCAATATTTCATGAGCCGCAATGCACCGTGGTGGTGGTGGTGGTGAATGCGAGACGGTGGTTGTCCTTAATAAATAACGTCACGAAGCAAGCATGCGGTTCAGGCGGCGCAGGTTTGCCGACTCCTGTGGGCTTAGGATCAGGCTTAGATGTAATTATAGTATTAACATAATGGTAGCGTTTGGACTAACGAGTCAGAGGTGGTTTCTGGAGGTGGCGTTAAGAGTCAGGGGTAGGCCTAGGGCTGGGTTA